AACACAAGAACAATACGTTTTCTTTCTATATTTTATATTATTTGTATAAGCAATTAGAACTTAAAATGAAATATCAGTATAGATTTAATATTGAAATTTCAAATATTATGTTGAAAATAATTAACCCGTCATTGGTAGACATTTTGATCAGACAGCATTTTGAACGTCAGTCACATAAATGTTTGTTATTTTGCTTAATTCTCTTATTACCTTCAAATAAAAGCTTACCAATAATTACAAATAAAAAAAAACCGTTATCTGTATTTCCTCAAGAGTTTTCAGTGTGCAAAGTTGACTGTACCGATAAAGTGAGGGTCACGTTCACAGTTTATCAACTTCATATTATTTTAATTGCTTATACGTTTATTTTTTTTCAAAATAATGGCCAACAAAGTTTAATCTTTGTTGGAGGAGACTGGAGAACAGTTTTTAGAGGACTTATGCCAACCCAAGTGTTGACCCCGTCCAATTTTTTGAAAATGAATCGGACAGTGACGTTTCTGAACCTGTGCCTGGTACTCACAATACCAGTCGTATAAATAATAAAAATACTTGTATTTTACAAAAAATATTTTACCAATTGGTTGTGAGCAAAATGATACTTAATTCTATGTATGATTCAATGTTTTGAGTTCATCGAGTAATTAATAACAAAGGAAAAAATAACGTGTGAGCGCGGCGCTCACAGTTTAGCAATCGTGATCCGTAACATAAATTTGCCAACGACGGGTTAAAAAATTAAAAATTACATAGACAATAGTAACATCAGTTCTTTAGATTAAATCATAAGTCTACTTTATAATGTTATGATGTATTAGATTAAATTAAAATCAAATAACGATATTATTTCATACCTACTAATATTATGTTTAAACTTTAATTATTACATATTATACATTTTCGGCAGGTACGTAAAAAAATATAATCAATCATTAGTTTTAATATCAAATTGTTTAATTTTAGTATTTTTAGACTCATGCTTCTTGATGTAAATATAGTTTTCTTTTTGTTAAAGGCTATTTTAGCTTGACAGATACGTTTTATAATTTCACTTCTATTTCTTCCATCCTTGCTGATTGCGCTTCCCAAGTAAGTAAATTCATCTACTTGTTCTATTGCTTGGTTTCGTATTTTTATCTGTATTCTTGTATTATTTTCCCTTTCACATACCATTACTTTTGTTTTCTTCACATTTATTCTCATTTCCAACTCTTTTTCGAATGTTTTATCCATAACTTTAATTAGTTGAGCCAGATCTTTCTTGCATTCAGCAATTAAAACTATGTCATAGGCAAAACGTAACATATTTATTTTTTGTCCGTTAATCTTTATCCCTAGATTGGCATTTTCCTTTATCATATTTATTGCTTCTTGAATATTTGCGTNCTTTATCCCTAGATTGGCATTTTCCTTTATCATATCTATTGCTTCTTGAATATTTGCGTTGAATATAATTGGGGATAATGTACAACCTTGTCTAACTCCTCTGTTTATTTTTACTTCTTCCTCTTCATCTTGGATCCTTATATCTGCGGATTCATCCTTGTATAGGTTATACAGAAGTTTCCTATCTGTGTATTTTAACCCCAATCTTTTCATCATGTTAAACATTA